TTCTGTCATTTTAATGATTGGGAATTTTCCTCGCCGGATCATTTGGTCCGTTTTTTCTTGTTTTCCTTGTTGAATGTATGAGCGTATTTCTAGAATAAAAAGGCAAATAAAGTAAGAGTTGCTTCAGAAGCAAAAGTTTTGGACGACATCAAATCCAAGAAAATCATCAAAGCAACCTCGAAAATGTGAATCAGTAAAATGACAGAATAGTTGGCGAGAAAGAATTTAACAATCAGACCGCTATTATCTTCTTGTATATGATATCCAAATAGCTTTTTTCGAAACGAAAATGGTCCAGGAAAGCACCTCTATTGTAAAAGCACAGCTGGGTATCTGCAGAAAAGAGAAGAATAGAAATTGACATCAAGGGCCTCAAAGCGGTGGTATTCAGGCCTTTATCCTTCAAAGGGAATTGCACGCATGCCAAGCACTTCTCAGGAAGGAGCCGAAAAGTAAACAAAAGGTCAACATATGTTATCAAAAAGTTGAATAGTGGTATAATTTTGAGACTCAGCTTCTCTGGTCTAAATACATCCACTTCAGAAGCATTAGAGCTGGAGTTGGGTTCTTTGGGCTCTGAGGCCAGAAGAAGACCTAGAGGAAAGAAGAAAGCCTGCAACAAAAAAGCACTAAAAGAAAAAATCTTTTTTGTGAGTATTTGTCAAAGTAAACAATTTATGTAGTTTTTGAAGCTTTTTAATTCCTGTAGGCTTGTCGTGCACATGTGTAGAAAAGTGGTCAGAAACTGGGGTTAAAAATATATCATAAATGAATTCGGTAGACATAATAAAATATAAGATTCTTGATGAAACACATCTGATAAGAACTACCTCCATAGTCTCAATAAAATACTCAGGGTACTTTTTACCATAACTTTAAAATGAAGAGCAGGGTTAGGGGAGGAGGTTTCAAGATTTTCATCGATCTTTTTTCAATTCGCTAGAGATGATGTCTTCCTTTTTAAATGGCTTGGCTTTTCATCAATTTCGTTTAAATTCTCTAGAGATGATATCTTGCTTTCTATATTGTTTAGCCCTTGATCGATGTCATTTGAATTTTCTCGAGATAATGACCGGCCTTGTATGTATTTTTCAAATAGATAATAATTTTTTTCGATTTGCTTAACAAAGACGATTTTATATTTAGTTATATATAATAGATATTTTTCTATGTATTTTATACCTACTTCATAGAACCGATAATTTTGCCC